TAGGCAACGGGCTGGGCTCGGCTGGGGTTGCTAGGCAACGGCGCCAGTGCAAATAGCAGTTTTTTTTTGTCAATATTAAAGAATCATCGAGTTAAAACAAGCTGGTATTTCCTGCTGAAAAGTTGTCTGAAAAGTTGTAAGTTTGTCTTATTTCAAGTGTGCTTGGATATTTCCACCAGAAACTAAAGCAGAGTTTAGTTTCTGGAGAGTTTGGTGAGAGTTTGTTTTTGCAGTGTTGGATTGTGGTCAACGCATCTTTAATCAGTAAAAACAAAAACTGTGGCCCGTTTGGTGAAGATGCATCGACTGTCAGCAGACATCCTGTGAGCATGTTGACGTGAAAAGCAGCTTAAAAAAATTGTAAAACTGAAAATAAAGAAGATTTATTTTTGTCATAAACCGCTGAGGCAGCAGCAGAGACAGACACGCAGATAGTTACGAGGATGGATTTCTGGAAAGGAGATGATACTGTTACAGAAAGTAATTAACTTTTACCATAATGCACAATTTGGCAGCTGTACAAACACAACAATACATTCACTCGCTATTACCTCACTCCCAGCACTTTCTCCTCCGTCTGTCTGATCTGCACACAAATCATCAGACGACCACATTCCCTCCAAGATTGGAATCTCTCATTAAATTCAAGGAGATTAAGAAAGGTCTTCCCGATAAGACGAATCCTCCCTCAGCGTCTTACCGGAGGCTTCCTTTCAGGCCTGCATGGTCGCTACGCTACAGCAACGCTACAGCAACGCTACAGCAACGCTACAGCAACGCTACAGCAACTACAGCAACGCTACAGCAACTACAGCTACGCTACAGCAACGCTACAGCAATGCTACAGCTACACTACAGCTACGCTACAGCAACGCTACAGCAACGCTACAGCAACTACAGCAACGCTACAGCAACTACAGCTACGCTACAGCAATGCTACAGCAATGCTACAGCAATGCTACAGCAACGCTACAGCAACTACAGCAACGCTACAGCTACGCTACAGCTACGCTACAGCAACTACAGCAACGCTACAGCAAAGCTACAGCTACGCTACAGCAACGCTACAGCTACACTACAGCTACGCTACAGCAACTACAGCAACGCTACAGCAACGCTACAGCAATGCTACAGCAATACTACAGCTACACTACAGCTACGCTACAGCAAATACAGCAACGCTACAGCAATGCTACAGCTACACTACAGCTACGCTACAGCAACTACAGCAACGCTACAGCAACTACAGCAACGCTACAGCAATGCTACAGCAATGCTACAGCTACACTACAGCTACGCTACAGCAACTACAGCAACGCTACAGCAACTACAGCAACGCTACAGCAATGCTACAGCAATGCTACAGCTACACTACAGCTACGCTACAGCAACTACAGCAACGCTACAGCAATGCTCCGGCCGCTTGTTTCTGAAAACAAGCGGCGAACTCTGCAGCTCAACCTCTGCAGCAACCAGATGTTGTGTTAACCAGAAAACTTTCATGCTTTATTTTGATTTGTCATCTTCGCTGCACACAATAAAACAGATTCCATGAACAGATTTAATTAGACTTTGATTTAGTCATAAACTTGTGTAATTTCCATCCTGTCACTGATGCTGAACGCCGGCAGCTGTGGAGGCTTGTTGGAGGAGTTGAGGAGCAAAGAGAGGCAAAAACAAACCCGAGGATTTCTGTGTTCATTTTCAAAACGACACGAGAAAAAACCTCAGCAATGGCCAATAAAAATCAGACATCTTTAAGTCGAGGATTACCAGCTAGAAGTTGTGAATAATTTACTATGGTTTGTTGAATGTCATTATTACTATTGTGTTACTTGAAAATGGTCTCAAAACAATAATATTATCGTTTATGACAATAATTTCTGGAACCAGTAAAATATGTTACCATAATAGGCCTCATCATAAGTTCAATACAGACAAAAGAAGTTTGTATCAATAAGAAATCAGAGTTCAATTAGACACAACAAGGCTAAAAACCAGAAAATAAGACATGTTGTTGCTCCAATAAAATGTGGTTTATGTTTACGTCTTCCTGAAACGCCCAGGCGGTTCGGCCCAGGCGGTTCGGCCCAGGCGGTTCGGCCCAGGCGGTTCGGCCCGTCGGCTCCGTCCAGAGCGACTGCTGCCTCTGTGAGGCTCGGCCCAGTTTTCACCAGGCCAGTGGAGCATCAGAGAGTTGAGCTGCAAATTAAATCCTGCTCCCGCTGCACATTCTGCCCCCCAAACACTCAATTCTTTGGCTTTTTGCACCGACAGAAAAAATGAAATGGAGTTGTGACCGACAGGAAGTACAGATGAATTATTAAAGCCATGAAAGATCTATCCGAGGATCCGTCTGGATGGAGTTATAAAAACTGAAGCTTCCAGTGGTTTTACTGGTAAATGGAGAAAAACATGACAGCCTTATGTAAGCTTTTATTTTTGCCGTTTCTCCCAGGAGATCTGCTGCTTTTGTGCAAAAGCACAAAAGAGCTGCATGAATAAAAGCATCACCTGATGCATTATCCCCCCTAATGCTTCAAACCAATTAATGTAATGCCATTGCTATATTAAAAACAGGAATTATGTATCAATAAGGCATCTCTGTAAGTGCCTGTAATGTTGCCTCACCCCGAAACACCGGCGGCAGGCCATCACATCCAGAGCCGTTCCCACTCCTCCCTCCACACATAAATCCAGGCTGCTTCAAGAAAACACAAAAAAACTAAATGAAAAATCCGTCTGAGGTTCAGCCAGCGGAGTAAAAGCTTCCCTCGGTCGCATTTAATCCAGCAGAAACAAAACCGGCTGCCGTCTACCTGCGCAGGTGTCCCGCTGCTCTTCTGCCTTGAAGAGTCGATTACAAAGTTTGGGCTGGTAATGAGGTCTAAAGTTTCCTGATTAAATTACCAGAGGTCAATAAAAAGGTCTTTAATGTTTAATGGCTGCAGTGAACGGAGCCGAGTTGCACCCAGATGGCCCAAAGCGACGTGCAGAACGCTCGTTTAGACTCCCTTCGTTACTTACAGGAGCCCAAACTCTGCTGCTCTGCATTTATATCACATTAATATGATACTTTATCATTTGGAAAGAATCACCTTTACCAGAACTCCCTGGTTCCTAAATAATATTTGTTTAATTTCATTACATTTGGAATTGTGTTGAAACATTAAATTTTTTAGATTGTCCCTTTAAATTACAGGGAAATGTTTGTCTATTCAGCAGTTTTTAAGATGCTGATTCTTACTGAAATTCCCATTTTAGTCAGATTTTATTTTCATTTCCACCCGTTGCAATCTGAATGAAAAGTCCTGTTTTGCTGGCTAAATTCACTGTGAATCACAGTGTTTGCATTTCCAGAAAAAAACATTTTCTGTCAACTTAAAATACATAAAAATATCAATAAATAAAATAAAAACTTTCAGTTTAGAAATAAGTGCAAATCATAAAAAAGTACATATAATTTTAAGCCTTATTCCAATTCAGATTACAGAAATCACATTAATTATTTTCAATTAACTTAATAAATTGGTAAGAATTAAGTAAAAATAAATAACTAAAAGCCAAGATTTTTAAAAAATGCCTTTGATTAGAAATAATTCAGATTCATTTTTTCTGGCACCAGCGATCGATTCAACCTTCAGTCAGAGCATTGACTGAAATATTTTCACATTAAGTTGTGATCAGTTGTCGACAGTGGAGTTAGAAACAGACGTTCAGCAGGTGGAGAGGGATAAAGACGGAGTTTGGCTGAACTTCCCGATGTAGAAAAAGCCGCCGTGGGTTTCGGCTCCTGCATATAAATGCGTTTAAAGGATTTCACATTCTGTTTGCTTCATGCAAATCGGAAAACAAAACATATATGAAGCTGTTTAAGCAGCAAACGGCAAGTTCCTGCTCATTATATCTGAAACGGCTCAACTGGCTTAGTGTTGATCCAAAGCTGCAGCCAGAAAATGTTCTGGACCGAACCGCCTGCATGCAACCAGGCCAACAGCTTCACTGCACAACTACCACCAGGAAAACCGCATTTTTAAAACTGTGTGGGTCAATATTTTATTAAACCAGAGGCTTTAGAGCTGCTCTGCTGCAGCTTCATGAATACTGACTCATCAGTGAACAAAAAGGTAACATTTATCAGGTTTATGAGGTTTTCGTCTTTTAATATCCCACTCATGACTTCTTTCAAAATCAGGTAGCTGAACTCAACAAGTGGAGGAGGTCCCATGTTTGAAATAAGAAAAAAAAGGACTTATGCATGTTGTTTCCATTTCCTACAGAATTTTGTGACCATATTTAAACTGCAGAGTCAGAATTCCACGGAAAAACGGTCAGAATTCCAAAATCAAAGTAATAATTCAGAGCGAAACAAAAGTCTCATTTCTGAGATTAATTTAAGAATTTATAAGAAAAAGAAAGTCAGAAAAAGAAAAAAAACAACTTTGAATTAAAATGATTAAAATTCTAAGAAAACAGTCGAAAAGCCGTAATTCAGAAAAAAAAGGAAGTCAGATTCTGATCGAAACAAAAGGCTCAATTTGCCAAATGTCAGAATTTCTAAGAAAGAAGTCAGAATCCTTGAGTCGCATCAAAATACTGATATTAATGTTAGAATTTCAAGGAACACAGTTTAAGACGGCGTTCTGAGAAAAATATTGAAATTCCGAGGAACAAAAGTTCAGAGATTAACGTCACAAATTCTGAGAAAGACATTAAAAAAAGAAAAAGTCTGAACTAAGAGATTAAAGTCAACATTCAGAGAGAAAATGTAAAAATCAGACTCCAGCAGCTACCAGTCGGGCTTTGAGTCTTGGCCACTTGGAGCAACATTCTCACTGAATTATGCATTGCATTTAATATAACAGTGATTTATCTCCACTTCTGCTGCATGCCACGTTTTAACTGTAAAGCCTTTTATCCCATCTGAAGTCAGAAAGAATCAAAGATCCACGGCGAGCAACACTGGAGATGTCTAGAAGACGCAAAGCGCTCACACTTACAAATTTCCTCTTGAGCTTGCCCTTGTTGCTGCGCGCCGTCTTGGCTGAGCCGTAGTCCAGGCCCATGTCCAGGTGGTCGTCGGCCGACATGCTCTTACGGAGGTAGGCGGCCCGCGCCCGGAAGTGGGAGAACGGCGACTGGGAGCGCGGCCGGGCCTCGGTGCCGCCGCTCTGCTCCGTCTCGTCGTCTCCCTCCACGTCGTCCTCCAATCGCCACAGCTCTCCTAGAAGCAGAGAGGAAGAAAAAACAGAGACAGGTGGATAAATGAGAGCAACACAAATTGGACAACACAATTATCGGAAGCTGTCATCCGACGACGGCCTCCATAAAACACGCCTGGAATGTAATTTAGCTTGCCTTTAAGCTCAGCTGCTTTCTAACCATATTATTCTTCGCCTGACTTGTGAATAACTTGATGATGATTACAGCTGCTGGACAGAAATGATGGCTCATTTACAACAAAGGAAGAGTTGTGCAGCAAGGCTCGCGTTTTCTCCACAGCAGAGACGCGGCGCTGCACCAATCAGGTCCGACTCTCATCACTCTGCAGCCAACGGCGCTCAGTGATTCGTTAACGAAGCATCAGAAACGGACCAAGTCAACATGCTGCAGCAGCAGAGCAATCTGGCCTCTACAAGGACAAACCATGCAGAAATTATAGTGATAAACAATATTGTTGTTGTTGTTTTAAGTGGAAATTTTGGTATTTTAAGGAGGGAAATAACAGGAATTTATATAAGTGACTAAAACAATCAAACAAAAGAAAATGTTTCCAAATAAATAAATAAATGATCCTTTCAATATAAAACTTAAGAAACTTTAATAAAAGCTGCAGGTGTGTCTGTGCATGGTGGACATGTTTGTTTTTCATTCAGTAGAGAATCCAGACATTTTACTCAAGTCAGAGGAAAGAAACTTTATAATAAACTTTCAAAAAGTTACTCAAGTAAAAGTAATTGTAAAAATGTAACTAGTTACTCCCCAATTCTGGAAAAACTAAATTCCAAACTTCTGCTTTTTCTTTCCAATATTTTAAATGAAATAAAATCTGGAAATAGGACAATTTTCCAACAATAACTTGAAGTTAAGTACAGAAAAATTCATGAAGAGGTGAATCTCTAGTAAAGAGTGGAGATTCTGCTCTCTGTACTAGAATAGAACAAAAGTCAATTTGGAATGACGAGCTGCAACAGGGTTCATCTTTTTGGACAGAAGAAGAAAATGGAGAACTTGGAGAAAACCCAAACAGATCTGCAGACATGTTGGTGTGTGCATTAGTATTGTTCTGGTTAGTTAAAAGGTTTTTTATCTGTGGAGTACATGCATAATTCAGAAAGTCTTCTACAACATGCAGAAAAGTCTATTTTTTGTATCATAGCTCAGTGACGTTGATTTTCTGAAGTCTGCTGACATGCAGATGCCAGCAGAGCTGCTGTCTGTAGACATAAATCGCAGTAAATGCTGCAGCTGCTGCCTGCGCTGCTGTCAGTGTGAAGAGTCCTGAGAGAGTCGCTGAAGGGAGGCTGAGCAGCACAAACATGGAAATGAACCTGTAGGAGAAAACGGTTCCACTGAGAGGCGATACTTCCTGAGGAAATTAAGACATAAAATCCAAACTTTAGAAGAAAATGGTGGCAATTTGTTTTTGTTTTTTACATTTTTGTAAACAGTCTAAATCTAAGATGTAGAAAATGGTGCCTAGCTAAAGTTTCATTATGTTAAAACCATAAACTCTGGTATATTTCACTAAAGGGGATCTATTATGCAAAGATCACACTTTGCACATTTTGTTATTCAATTTGGGTCTAAATCACTTAAAGAAAACTCTTCCTTGTTTTTTGGTGTTTGGAAAACGAGCCCTTTCATAAACCTCCTGATCGTTGAGTCAGACTGTGCCGTTAACTACCAACCCAAACTGTCCTCCAGTTGTGAAACTTTAATAAAACATGTTTCTTTTTCATCCAGTAGAGATTACTGTACTGTAAAAGTAAAAAGTACACCGTAGTACACCTAAAAGTATGTTTTTTCAAAAAATGTTACTCAAGTAAATGTGACTCGTCACTACCGAACTCTGCTGGTGTAATGACAATAAGGATTATCCTATTTCACAATTATCTGTACTAAAAATCAGCACACTTTGTAGTTTGAAAAATATAAAACAAATCCAAGCAACATGAATTGATTTTATAACAGAAGCAAAGACGAAACCAGACGGATCCGTTTCTTCAGCTGAATTAACGCTCCATCCAGAGGTTCTGCTGCTGCGCGCACAGAAAAAACATTTTACCAAGTACTTTTGGTTTAGTTTCTAGTGCAAATACCTCAGTACACTGAAAATAAGACAGAACTAACTTAAAAGAAACTTTTCAGTAAGATATACAGTCATTGTTTTCAGTAAATAATTCCTTTGTATTGTTGAAAATGTTCTAGTTCCTCTGGCAAATAAATCAACTTATAAAATAGGAAAATGTCTTGTTATAAGTGAAATAATCTGACAGTGGAATCAATACTTCCTCATCAATAGTAAGGAATTATTTACTTAAAACAAGCCTCTATATCTATCTACAAAAACACTTTTAAGTTAGTACATTTGAAATAAGACAAAACTACGATATTTGCTCTAGAAACTAGACCAACAATACTTGGTAAGACTTTGTGTTTATGCAGAGGCAAAACACCAGTCATTAACTGGCCGTGCAGATGCTAGGAATGCGTGACAACTTGTGTCCACCTCTGTCACCAACTGCTGAACAGCTGCCTCAAATTGTTCACTGTATTTAAGAAGGAAATAAGAACAGACCGCAAGGCAGTCAAACATCAAACTGATCGCAATCACACCTCTTTGTAAGAAAAGTAGAAAAACAAATGGATCAAATGCAAGACATGTTGACGTACACACCTGGCTTCCACAGCTGGATGACACTGTGACACCAGACAGAGAGGAAGAGAGAGAGGCTGCTGAGTTACTCTTACTAATATCAGCCGCGGCTTAAATCCCTGAATGAAGTGCGGCTCGGTTATTAAACCGAGGAGCAGCGAGGGAAGGAGGAAAAAAAACAGAAAGAAAAAGAAGTTGTCTTCCAGCTCCTGCAGGGATAAAGAGTGGTGGAATGAGCGAGGTCGCATCATGGTCGATGACAGCAGTTGCTAGGCAACAAGGAGCCACGTGAGACCGGGTTCTTTAATTTGATATTTGCATCGGAGCAACAGCCGAACAAGAGGAAACAGGAGAGAGACAAAGGCGGTTAGGATGTTCGTGAAACGGCAGAACCTGGGTCCGAATCTGGCGGCGGCTCGGTTGGAATCGTTAGAACGCAGCGGCGGGAAGGATTCATTGGATTAGGGCATTGATGGATGGAGCTGAGGCTCCTCTAATAAAGTGGGTTTATTGATAAAATAATCAAGTCGTTGTTCCAACTGGAGGCCAGGACGGACCAGACAGAAGCACAGAGATTATTTCTCCTTACATTTTTTATTTTTATCCTTTTTTACCAAGTATTAAGCACTAAAATGACCAAATTGCTGTGGAATGAATCAAATATTGACTGTGATATTTTTAGAACACAGAGGGGGGAAAAAGCCATCAGAAAAGCTCAGTAAGGTTAATGAAGTTCTGCTTGTGCTTGGCATGTCGGAACGAAATGAATCTCTAAACAAGGTCGTGTCAACTTTGATTCAAATTCAGGCCAATAAAATGAAAAGTTAAACATTCTTTGTCTACAAGCTGCACATAATCCCACCTGGCTTGCATGACTAATTCAATTAAATTAAGCCTAATTGAAAAATAATTAACATTTCTGTAAATGCGCCAGAATTAGCCAAAGATTAGATCCTGTTCAGAAGCGAAGTGTCAATATAAGATGCATTTGTGTCACTCTGCTTGATTTTGAAAAGGAGTGCTAGCTAGAGCTAGCTTTGGAGAGGCTAACTACTAGCATGTTACCCACAGCTTGTACTTTTTTCTTTGCTGTGTTCAGTTAACTAACATTCAGCTTTACTTTCCATGAGCAAATACCACTTAGAATTTGTTCAGTTTAAAGTTGGAGGCGGTATATGTAACATTGATTTTAGACGTTTGTTATACATGTGCATAATAAACATGTTTCCGCCACAGCTTATTGCTTAATCTGATTAATCTGGCTGAAGGTTTTAATCCATTAACAGCACTAGAAATGCACCTCTACTTCCAACACCTGAATCAAAAGGCTGATCAACAACTTTTGCAAAGGTCATAAACCAGTCGTCTGATTCAGATGTGTTGGTACTAAAGCATCATAACCCACTGCATGTAAATTAATATTGAAAAAGAACAGCGGCGCTTCCTACAGCATTCATTACGTCTCTCACTCTTTGGTTAGGAACATGTCTTCATGAGAAATAACGAAAAAATACATTTTCTCTCCAATAATCTGTTTTATTTATGAATCCCCGCCGTATGCAATCCTTTCACAATACTTGTAAGTGTTTTTTTAACAAGGATGGATTTTTCTTTTCAAATGAAAGCACTCTCTGTCAGGAGGCTTCAGCTTCAAGATTCTCCATGACATGTTTTCCCTGTCAGGTAAGGGAACGCCGTTTGATTTACAAGCAAGAAGGAGAGAGAGAGAGACGAGAGATCAGAGAGAGCGAGATAGAGGGTTTACCACATCTGCTCCCTCTGAAGCAACTGGATGCTGTGCGATCTGTCATGTGAAGCAAATATTAGGGAGTCAGAGCAGCAGACGTCAGAAAGGTGAAAGAAATGGGTCATGTTTGGTGTATCTGAACACCTTAGTTTGGGCTTTTATGTACTTTACAGTTTTGTATCAGCAGCTACAGATTAGCACAACAGTTCAAGATGCTACTGCTTCATAAGTCAGTGCTGTCCAAAAGTTTTGGCAAGAGGATGCTGTGTTCATTAACAACATTTAGGGTTATTTGTAACTTACAAGCACAATGAAAGGATAGACTTAAGTCCTTCTGCTCACGGCATAGAGTCGCTCAAAAGAATTGAATCGCTTGTGAATGACAAAACTCGCTGCCGGTCTGACTTAGCTTCCTCTGATTATTTAAGTATTTCCCATTGTTTCCTTTCCACCGTATTTTCAGCTTTTTTTAAGTGACCTTGTTTTAAGTGAAATATACATTTTTTTTTAAACACAGCCCTTTGGTAAGATAGCTGTAGCGTCGCTCTTTCAGCCCAAGTCATGGCAAATAGATGGTTCTCCACATAGCAGTAATCCAGGGACTTCCAGTGGTCCAGGGACTTCCAGTGGTCCAGGGACCTCCGGTGATATAGGGACCTCCGGTGGTACGGGGACCTCCGGTGGTACGGGGTACCGGACCTCGGGTGGTGCGGGGACGTCCGGTGGTACGGGGACCTCCGGTGGTACGGGGACCTCCGGTGGTACGGGGGACCTCCGGTGTACGGGGAACCGGACCTCCGGTGGTGCGGGGACGTCCGGTGGTACGGGGACCTCCGGTGGTACGGGACCTCCGGTGGTACGGGGACCTCCGGTGGTACAGGGGACCGGACCTCTGGTGGTGCGGGGACGTCCGGTGGTACGGGGACCTCCGGTGGTACGGGGGACCTCCGGTGGTACGGGGGACCTCCGGTGGTACGGGGGACCTCCGGTGGTACAGGGGACCACAGTTTGAGAAAGACTGAAATACCCAACGCTGAAGACACCATCTTATTAGAAAAAAAGTCATGAAGGTGTGAACATCCCTCCTCACAATCAGAGAAGAAAAAAGCACAACAAAAGAAGCTGACTGGTGCCTCTAAGTGAGTCTTTTTCCAACTGTAGTCGGCAGGCGCCACCAACTGGATGTAAACAAGCATTTATTTGCTGTTACGTCAGTTCAAAGTGCGACACCACAGTTAGCTTACCCAAGGATTGGGTCTCTAAAGAGAAAAACTAAAGTTATTGGTGGAAAGTTTCTGAGGATGAGTTGCAGAACTTTTGTTTTTGTACAATATTATGATACATAGCATGTTCGCATGCTGCGCCCCACGCTGACTAACTGCATCTTAACACCTCAAATAGCATTATTTATGTTCGCCTCTCTACTGGCTGAAATAAAATGTTTGTTTTTGCCAAAGCAACTCAAGTCTATTCTTAAAATATTAGTAGTCCATTCAACACTTGTAGTAAGTAAATTTTTTGATCTCCATGTGTTTTCTGTCATTGGAAAGTTTAGAATTTGTATAATTAACATAATGTAAATAACTGAAAGTGCCCTGGGTCGACGTGTTCATGAGTTTCTTGTGGTCAGTCACATTTACAAAACAGCGCCATCTTCACATTCGGAGGACCAAAGACAATCAGTTAAGAGGCTACTATTTTTCCTTCAGGTTGTTTATATTAAGATGTTGCGTTATTGCAGGGGTAAGTGTTTGTTAAATCAGGTAATTGGTCCTCGGTGTGAAAAAGTTTGAGAAACTGCTGCCATTTACCTGCAGGGGGCAGGGTGCAGGCCTGTGATTGGCTGGTGGCAGGTGGAGGGTTTTTCCTGCGGGGCGGACTCCCACCAATCAAGTCTGAGTGGTGGACCCTGGAGACGGTTGGAGACTGGGGGATGCTGGGGAGCGTACGCGACTTGGCCAGTAGGGGTCGCTGCAGCTTCCTTTCCAGAGACCTTCAGAAATGAGACATGGAGAATACATCCGTTTGGTTTCTTGATACTTTTGACAAGAATACAATTATCGAAATGGAGAGAGCTGCAAATTAAAACTGTACGTGATACCATGTTAATTATACAAATAGGCCTATAATAATAAACAATAACTCAGTTAATTACATGATAAAATAAAACTCAATAATTTCCATTTGCATGATTTATCGTTTTCTCTCTTTCTACCAAAAACTCCATGATAAAAGTCTTCAATTTGTCATTACATATATACAATATACAACTATGCATATGGACTCCTATTAATCAGGGATCAGTCAGTTAATCAGTTAATCAGGTTCTTCCAGATGACTAAAACGATTGATTCGTCATAGCAGCCGACATCATCACATCAGAAATCAATAGAAACAATCAAGTGAACAGCTTGGCAAAGTGCTAAAACAAAACACACACACAATGCTATTTATTCATTTATTTAGTTGGACTTTGCACACAAATGCAAAAACCTAAAGCTGGAAAGCAATGATTCTATCAGGAAAATATACTGACAGCACAAAATATTTCAAGGAAGAAGTTGCATAAGAAGAGAGAGAGAGAAAGAAGTGACAAACAAGAATATGAAATTTTACACTGGAGGAACACTGGTGATAAATGTTCATACACTAGGTTTTAGAAATGTATCTATATCTTAGAGGAAAGATAAAAATATTCAACATGATTCAGTGTTGAAGAATTATTTCAAAGAAAATTTGGACCAAAATCTGCAGAAGACAATTTTTCCATGTACGTTTCACTTGGAGCTGCAGAAATCCTGGATAAAAAAAGGCATTTAAACACCAAAATTACTTTTTATGAATGTTAAATATCCTGGAAACGGCATCTGGAATATACATCATAAATAACGAGTGTAAAAAGGAGGGACAGGTGTTAATGTAGCAGTAAGCAGAGGCTCTTTAAGACAAAATCATGTAGAAAACAGGCTGGATCAGAAAAGTTTTTTATGGCTGCAGCCCTGTTTCACATTTACATGGCAATAACTGTCTTTAGGTTTTAATACCACTTTCAACCACAGGCTGCCCTTTATTTCAATGGCCTTTTATGTGATAGTCCAACGATAAGTCAAATTTCACTGAAAAAAATCTGAACAGTGCGGTGTACATTTGTATTCAGCTCCTCGCACACCCTGCTTGGTGTGTAGAAAGTTCCCACACTTCAACTCCAGAAACAGAACTCCTTCTGACTTTCTTCCAGAGATTCTTCTTTCAGTCTCTCTTCTCTGAATGCCAGATTTGTTGACACGTTTACATCAAGAAAACATATCAGTATTCCCTAAAAACCAGATTATTCCTGCTGTATTTGGTGATGCAAAGTGTTTCCTTCACAATTTTGTGAAATACACAAATTTAAATGTGGCCAAAAAAACCACCTCATCTTTAAAGATGACCTGTTATGCTTCCTTAAACAGATTAGATGTAGATCTAACCCGTTACATGTTTTGTTGTGTAACAAAACATGTTTGTTACATTTTTGTCCAAAATCATAAATCTGCCCTATTGAGCTGCTTTAGGGCGTCCTGTTCCTTTAAATCCAAATCCAAACACTCACACATGAAAATGGCTGCAAAGAGATGAGCAATTATACAACCGTACGTCTTTGACAAGCAAAAGTGGAGCCTCCTGCACAACCAACAAGACTGCATTAAGCGGTTCATAAAACCTTTGAACCAGAAGTAAATCCAGCTGACCAAAGGTGCTAGGTAATGACGCAATGCGACTCATCAGGACGTTTTTTAAACAGCTCATTTTCCAGACACCAAAAAAAAACAATGTACTAAAAAGAAACAGCTGGATTTTTATTTTTAAGCGCTTGTAATAATGAAGTACAAAAACGCAACATCGGTTTTTAAGTCCAGTCTTTAATTTTTATAAAAATATTTTTTTTGATAAGTTTCCATTGATTCAATTTTTTTTTGTAAAAGTGGGCAGCGAGGCAAGTGATTCAGTTCCCTCCTCACTTCCTATGTGTGTGTTCTGCAGATTATATTGCAGGCTTAAGTTTATCTAACTCTGGGGATCAATTAGATAAACCGAGAGCAGATTCGAGATCAGCACATCCACGGGTCTCAGAAGCAACGCACCGGCATCAGCGATTAAACTCCAACCTGGTGGGAAAAGAAGGTGCTGGAAATATTTAAACCCTGTGAAGGTGAAGCTGCTTTTCAGCTTTCTGCACACATGGAGGCAGGAAACACTTTGACAACAACAGAAGCCGACAAGATTCTCACTCCTGGGCGATCCACACCGACGTGTGCGAAGGAGAAAAAAGTATTTGCCTGAAGCGGACACGCACACGCACACACACACGCACACGCACACACCCCCCCCCACACACACACACACACACGCACACACACCCCCCCCCCTCCCCCCCCCCACACACACACACACACACACACTCCTTGAAGCTGCCTGCAGGTGAGTCCGCTTGTAAACATTTACAGCCAGCCGCACTCTCTTCATTTGCACAAACAGTTGTGAGTCTCCCACCGGCACAGCATGATGATAACACACGGGGTTGAACAGTCGGCCCAGGCCGCTCTGACAATTTGGGTTTCACTCATCCAACGGACCTGTTGCTAAGCGACACTGACTACAAAAAAGGGGGTGAAAAGAAGAGGAGAGAGCGGAGATGAGGAGTGAAGAGCCTTGTTTTTTGTTTTCCTTCGCCTCCCGGCAGCAATCTATACCATCAGGTTGGAGGAGTCAACAGTTCTCTGTTCCCCGATGTTCTGGAGAACCACCACGTCTCTTGTTTATGTGTCACGTAAACTGGAAATATGCAGAGAATAAACGAGATTCGCTCTGAATGACAGACATGAGCAAACTAGTCAAAATGTGTGAATAAAACACTGCAGGATTTGCATTTTTTTTAACAGAAAGTGTTATAAAAACATGCCATGCAATTGAGCTAGTCAGTTTGGCGTGGAAGAAAACTCTCGAAAAATCTTCTGTTCTCCGTCTCGCCGGCGCCCCCCGGGGGAAATGTGCTATTCTTCCACATCCACAGGCCCACGCTCCAGATCCAGACAAGCGCAGCGGTTTGTATTAGTGACCCATTTTAAGGCTAAAAGTAGAACACGCAACCCTCTGGCTTCAACGTCCAGCCATTCGTCGACCCGGACACTTTGTGAAAAAATAAAGAGATGCTTCTGAAAGCAGAACCGCCGTGTGATTCACTTCACAAACAACTTTTAGCTTTAATTTTCAGTAAGATCAACTTAGTTTTATTGAGAAATTGTTTTTTTATTATGATTATTTTGAACTGAAAAACACAGAATGCAGAAAGATGTAACTTAATAAATAAAACAAATAGATGATTATTTCAATTACAGATTAATTCAAAACAATAATCTGTGACTGGAATCTGATGGTTTTATGCTCTCATCAGCGATTGGCTGGTTGGAAACTGAAAAGCTGATCTTTTTCGAATCGGTAAAAGCGGAACAAGCAGGTCAGACTGACGGCAACATTAATGCTTTTCAGAGCTGCAACTGAATGAGTGAGACGCGCTTGGCTGTTTCCAGAGATGCTTAAAAACAAAACACAAAAGGTGCAAAAAGGAAACTGCGGCTTTTTCAAAGGAATTTCAGTCAATAAGAAAAGACTGAACAGGATTAAATTCAACATCAGAGGGTTTAGTAGATTAGAAAATGTTTTTGTAAATGTTAAAGGAGCAAAATTTGACATTTTTTGATATAAAAATTTGTATTTTTCACGATTAAAGGCATAAATTCACAAATTTAGACCAAGATATTTGCTGACGTAAGTATAGAAATTTGCCTGAAGTAAAACAAATTTTCTGACATCGTAAAGGCAGACATTTGTGATGTAAAATGTATTTTGGATCCCGTTTGAAGTATGCATGGCAAATCTACACCTAGAAAACTTCATCCGAGACCAGAAAAGATTTTATTTCATCCAGTTCCCAACTTTATGGTGCCAGAGAATAATTTAATATTGTAAATTTATTCCTTTAATCAAGAAAAATGATATTTTTTGGAGTGGAAATTTATGCCGTTTGGACAGAGATCATCCATGTTTTTACTTGTAAATGTTATAACTAAAGTAGAAATGATTTTTGCCTTCAGTGAAGCAGGAAAACAGAAAAACTTCACACTGGTTTTGTTTATTTTGCTTCATTTGCATGAATTATATGACAAATATTTTACTGTTAGGCAAAATATATTGTCATTTAAGACGAATAAAGAATCAAAATCTGATAAAAGTGTTAATTGTTGATTGAGGCATGTCATTTATACTTAAATATGTTTTCATCTTTCCACCAGCTTTGTGCCCAGCAGAGTTGAAGGGGAGATAAAAGCAGATTTACTTTGGTATCTGGATGAGAAAATCTGTGAGCAATACGTTAAGAGACGATTAATCTTTATCTTTATCCCTCAGTCATTCCGCAGACACCAGAGTCAATAAAGCAAATAAATTGAGCGCAGCTGCATTGATCCGCTTTAATGACGAGCTGAAGTGTGTGGACTCTCTTTCCGGCTTTCAGGCTGGACATTTACTGGCTGTTCATCTCACTCCCCAAACAGCAGGAATCAAGGCTCCAGCTGCAGGAAACTGCAAAACACTGTAATGTTTCTTTCATTGGAAGGAAACCGGCATCCATAAAACATAAACTTAGTTTGAAAACAGAATCACTTTAAAGCCCCACAGTTTGTATTTCATGTGAAAGTGAAACTTATTTAATATATTTTTTCAGACGATGAGGCCCGAAGAGCCCAAATGAATCGAGTTCCTAGATCGTTAAAATTCCCTGGGGAAATTTATCTGCCTCGAAGCTTCGTTAAATTGTTTTATCATTTCGCGCATCGTGTTCCAGCTGGGTTGTTATTTATGTTGCGCAACGCTCTCACTTCCACCTAAGAGTTGTTGCTAAGTGTTTGCGGCATAACGTCCAATTTGTAGTTTTTCGGGGGACCAATAAGGATC